CTTATAAAAAATAGTAATTGAAAAGAACCGTGATTGTCTATAAAAGCAATTTATTTCCTATTACCTGCAAAAAGTCTCCTGTTTGGGAAATTTTGCACAAGCTTATATCCAAGACAGGGTGTCTGAACAGTTTAACAGGTTGCAATACGTCTCTCAACCCAGAGTCTTTAGTTTGCCATGTTTTACATCAAGAGAAATGCTACGTAATATGCATAGGGCACTCTAATGAACAGTTTTACATGTTGCAAGAAGCATGACACAAATGTCTGAAGTGAGCTGCTTTCAAGTTCAGCAACGGTATTCTGAAGTCTCAAAGTTCCTCTGCACTCATCTGGTCCATTTGCTCAATTGTTTTGAAACCTGCCGGGGTGCAAGCCTTTTGTCTAGCCAAGAGTTGAAAAACAAAAAAAAAGGACAAAATCCTCTGTTTCTGAATTGCTAAGGCATGATTTCTTATGGCATCACTTGAAAAGGATAGATGTTTGAGGGACGCCAGTCCTTTCTTCATTACAAAGGAAAAAATCTGGCACAGAACAGATGGGAATGCATGGAATAATTTGTTTTATGTTTAGAATCTACCACTCCAATGTAAGAAAGAAAATCCTGAAGGAAAAAAAGCAAGCAGGTCCATTTACACATGTCGGTGGAGCTACCTCAACTAGCATCAACTTCAGTCTACGCACAGCAGCAGAAAAAAGCTAGTATTTGAAGATTAGGGAAAAATTAACTGTGATACTTGTTTGAATACAATAATTACAGGTGGGTACAACAGTTGGCTGAGGGCTGCCAGGTGTTAAAACAAATAGTTTAACGGTAATACCTTTTCACTGGGCATTTCCATAAAAGTCAGACAACTTGTTTAGAGTAGCTCAAGAATAACCCTATGTTTATTTAAAATAATGAATACAATGTATTCCGGAACAAGGTTTAAAAAGAAAACAGAAGCTGCATTATTTATTCAATTTCTCTCATTCTTCCCAGCTGCCAAGAAATGTGGAAATTCCACGTGTTTCTAAGCAGGTTCTGCCATGTTAAAGGTACATCAAAATACATATTCGCCCCTGTTTGAAATGTTCAAGTCCTAGGGCTAGATAGCCTGGTCCTTATCTGACAGACTGTCCCTTCAAAGCATCATGGTGAAACAAGAGGAAAGACTTCTTTTTCTCAAGAGATACTTACCAACATTCTGCTGAGTGACTGAATGCGCCCAGCCATTGAAGCCAAACATTTCATTGGCCAGACTGATTACCTTGTGACCCTCAATGTAACAGACCTGAAAAGAAAAGCAGATTATACATATACACACACACGCGCACACACATATATTTCTTTTCTTTCCTTAATGAAAAACAGAGGGATCGCAGAGCATCTTGCACTGGGGAAACCCAGCTAAGTGCAAGACTCAGAAAATCTGAATGAAAGCACAATGGAGTAGCTTTAGGTTCCTCCCATCACAGTTGCCAGGAGAAGTTAAGAGAACAAACACGACTGAATTACAGGAAGTAGAGCTAATAGGCACAAAAGAGGGAAAAATGCAGCTAGTGTTTATATAATGCTTCATATATTCCATATATTCCAGTTCTGAAAAATTAAGCAAAACTTAGTGTTCCACAAGTAGATAAATATTCTCTGTTAAAAGATAAAGCACTGATAAGTTGCGGTTAAGACCCCGTGGCTAAGGTAAGGCTAGAATTTATGCTATCTTAACTGTGCTTTCACATCTGCAAATTACACTACTAGTGAGAAATGAACTCCAAAAAATATATTTGTTTTGATTTTTTTACAAAAGTTTCCCTGGGAGAAAAAGGAGTTGAAACATCTATACATGTTTGTTCATACCTTCTGCCCTCCTCCAGCTTGCCGACTGCTGATATACTCTGGACCCAGTTTCTGACGCAGAGCGTGCTGGATAGCTTGATATTCATTTGCTGTATATTGATACTTGAGGAAAACAAAATAAGACAAAGTTTTTTTTACTTTCCCCACATTGGCTTTCTCTCTCCTCCTGATATCAACTCTTAATCCCATTTTTCCATGTACCGTTTTCCATTTTTGTGATTCAGGATGTAACTGATACAGAAAGAGTTTGCAGGAAGGGCAGGGGAGATTTACCCCAGCAAGGGGCATTATATTAGTTAATTCCTACTCTTGAAGTCATGTGTATTCGTGGCTATACAAGCATTAATTATTGAGCTGTAGCAGTTGTTTTCCACTTCTCATAACCATCACTTACATTCAAAGAACTGAAATGAGCCAGGCCTATTGGTACCCTATTGAAATCTTACTGCTGTCATAATCCTATGTCAAGGTTGCCAGGAACACAAATATAGGTTGATATTTCACCTCTTAAAAATAAAATATCTCCATAAAAGACTCTTTTAAAACCTCAACAAAACCCACGCTTAACCTTGTTCTACCAATGTATTCCACCAAGACAGAAAAGACAGCAGCTAGGGCTAGCAGTCAGAATAGAATTTTCATGAAGAGCATTCTGCATATTCCCCTAATGCAGGAAAGGTTCTTTGGACAACTCTAGCACCAATGATATCAGTAAGAAGCCTAAAGAAGTGTAACTGGTACGGCTTGTCTTGGTAGAAATACAATTTTACAATCTGCAAAAGTGAGAAAGGCCTAAATACATATTTAAGGGATTCAAGCATTAATAAGCTTGTATTGCTATGCTCTGATGTGGGACAGAAGAGAGATTTCCATGCCTAGATCACAAGTACTGTGCATGCAGGTATTGGCTGCCCCATCATTCAGCAGAACAGAATTTAACAGAGTGTAAGCCATTTACGTTCTAATGCCTGCCAAACCTCTCTAGTTTATATATGGTTCCGTTTAAACTAAAAGGAGTAACTGTCTGGTTTTTGGAACCAGAATACAAATCTGTAACCAAAGAGGAAAGGGAGTGTACACAGGCATATACCACATTCAGGAGCTATGTACAGATATGCGTCATGAAGAAGAGAATTCACTGCTGAATGCAAAAGTTCTATTCAGACCAGATATAGTTGTTTGCCTTTTTTTTTTTTTTTATAATAACGTCTAAGTGAAAGTAGTTGATTTTCTGAACCAGTATGGAGAACGTATCTAGGCAAAAGCCAGGCCAAGCCATCTGAGAATGAAAGAGAATAAAGATGAGCCCCATTTTTAAGGAACAAAATTAAAAACACTTTGTGAAGAATCCAGATAAATTTACCATAGCTAGAGGTGTGCCGTGACTATTACAGAAGAAAACGTAAGGTAAAATTAGGTGTATGGGTATGACTCCAGCCTTATTCTACCCAGCTTTAAAATAAGTAGATATACAAAGCCAAAGTGCAAGCATAGAACCTCTGCTTTTCTTCCAGGCAAAAAGTAACTGACCTGACCAAAGCAAGCAACAGAACTGCCAGTGCTGGAACTACTGCTGCTGCTGTGGCTTTCGCCGTTCTTCCTTTGACTTTCAGGCATCCCTAAAGATAAGAGGAGATACAACACTGAACAGCAGGTAACAGAACCAACAGCCCATACGATGACATGTTAAAAAGCTGTGGAAGGCCACGGCCTGTGAGTATAACAATATTCTGTAATAGATGATATGTTGGCTATTACACCAATATTGTACTTCCCATTTTATGGAACTGCTGCATGGAACTACGCATGCAGAAATGCTTCACTTCAAGCTAGAAACACATGCACTGCTCTGGTCTTCCATCCACAAGAGCATCAAGTGTGAGTTAGCTGATAAAGAATCAAGAAAAGCCACAGAATGTGCTAAAAATAACTCCTGCTGGATTTCCTTGGATACTTGCAGGATTTCCTTGGATACTTGCGAATCTATAGGGCAACTCCCAGAACTACTAGCATTTCCAGTCATTCTTCTCCTTAGTGTCAGTCTGGGTTACTTCACTCATTTTCTGCTTTCTAAGCACTTGTCAAATGATAACTGGAAGAAATCACATTTCTGTGGTGGATGAAAAGATTTTTTTCAAAAAAACAAAACAAAACTTGACTTACATGTCTTACATGTAATTGCTGCTTATCAGTAAAAATGTTGATAGTACACAAGCTGTACTGGATTGTTCCTATTAGCGACTGTCTCTTCTTATGAGATCTACGTTTGTTGAGAGATTAGCAAAAAATTTAATCAAGAAGGAAGACTGCAGTTGAAACCTATCTGAATTTTCTGTTACCTACTTCCATTTCTGCTAGCCATCACATTAAATAAAACAACCATTTAACTCATTTAAAGAACAAATAAATTAACCTGGTCAGAAAAGGAAATTCAACTTCAGCAGCATCTGGATCCTGCACAAGAAGCAGAGACTACAACATAAAATTAATAACGATTTGAGTCATTATTCTAAAGATTAAACTGCTAACAAACGATGATTTTTTTTTCCTTTTAGGTATACGTGAATACCTTGTATTATTCTAAGTGAGGAAATACAAAATAATTCCCTCTTCCAAATTCTTCAGCGCTATATCCCTAAATTATCTTCAATATCCATTAATACTGAGAATCTTGACAAAATAGAAGAAGCAACTTTCTAAGACTGTACCTGTCTGTAAGATGACCAGTCGGTCTTCGGTTTATATTACTATTTTGACTGTAATCATACTGTCTCAGGCCACGATGGTGTCATATAAACTAAGCAGGTTTGAAAAATATACAGAACCTGTAACTATTCTAAAAAGTCATGCTGATAATTCAGTAGATGGCACCCTTCTCCAAGTCAGTATCCAACAACTGCCTGGTATCCCATTGCCACACCATGCTGCTGGTGAAGTGGTCTTCTAGCTGAGGGCTTACAGGATTGCAAAGGAGTTGCAGTGACACACGTATATAAGCCCACAGAGGCAATCTTTTGTCATGTTTGCACAAATGCTGAGTACAGCTGGCTCTGTCTTAGTCTATCACTAAGACTTCTGCATACAATACAAATATAAGACAATTCAATATACACGCAAGACACCAGCTGCAGAAAGGCTAAAATCCTCAACAGATAGTATTATTTGACAGCCAGTAAAAACCTGGCTAATGCTATGCTTTGCTACTGTCCTCCAGGTTCAGCACTCCTCTAGAGAAGCTAGAGTCTCTAAACAAGCAGCCAAAGTTTTAGTGAGAACTTGGCAAACAATTTTCAGAACAGGGATAGCAGCTGTTTCTTTGGCAGGTACCAACACCAGTAATTGTACTAGGTGTAGCAAAAATTCTCCTCAATTTTGGTCGGCTAAAATTATTCACCTTCTCTCCAAAGTTGTATAACTAAAATTTTTAGGCACTTGAATGTGTTTCAAGCAAAAGTTAGCTGCAATTTGTGGTAAATAAATTTGTTTCTAGAAGAGAACATATAGAAGTGAATATCACTAGGAGATACACTCATAATTTAAGCAGACTATTCTTGCTTTTAAGCAAAGAGTTCATCGTATCCTGAGGGAGACATTTAGAGAGATTAAAAAGAAATTAGTATCAGTAGTGAGTGGCAGAGGGAATCACAGTTTGAACAATGCTACTTTTTTTTTTTTCTCTCTAAGCAACCTAAATCAGATCCTAGTAAATTATAAAGCCCCTGCGAAAAACAATGCAAGAAATGTGTGCATTTGCCTACACAATGCTATTAGCAGTTTGCCCCAAATCTCCACATACAGTACGCCGGTGACATTTTGAAACAAAACTACTTTATCTTAAAACAGCATTATCTCCTTTAAGTTTCTATATGGTGTACACCATTGTCAATCTAAATTCTGTAAAGAGATACACGCTTAATGAATTTCTGAACAAGGTATGGAATTTGGTTTTTAATGATAATGAAAAAGAAGTACAGAATTCTGTTTAAAATAGTGACATACGGTATTAGAAGAATCTTCTTCTGTAGGCAGCTTTTCATCACTTTGAAACAGCTTGTACGCCATTAGCTGTATAAGTATCACAACTTAGAAACCCCTGAGGTAGAATAAGGCTCTTTTAGGAAATCAGTTATAGCACCAGACATTCCGTAAGCTATGACTTTATCATAGACTATGCACTTTCAGAGGGCTTTTTATTCAGCATTCAACCCCATCCTTCTCCACATGGTAAGCTGCTTTCACAGGGAAGCTATAGTTTGCTGAGTAAGTCTTTAACATTCTTTCAATAAATGTAATTCCACGGAGCCCATCAAGACAAATGAGGCTATGCATGTAGGCGTGAGTGATTTAGCAAGCACTAAAGACAGTATCTCATAATTAACCTAAAGTTCACATTGCTGTAAACAAAACAAAAATACTAAAAAACCCTTGAAGAATCTTACTTTTCTATGAAGTATTCTCTCCAGAAGGGACTCTGAACTGTTTTAAAATTGACTAACTTGTTATACAAAAGCTTGCTTCATCTAACACCGAGCAGAAATATACATCTTTAAAGTGTAATGGGCTAAATGCTCCCAATGAAGGCAGGCCTGTGCTACACCACAGTTTAAAGCGATAGGAAAACAAATTATGAAATTGCCGTGAGAAATTCCGTACAATATAACTCCTCAGTCTTGACTTCTGATAGTCAGATATCCTCGCCAACTTGAAAAGAGTGACTTGACTTAATTCTGTTGATTCTGTTGACTTCAACAAAAGAAAAAGATAATTCAGTGTTTTATACATTATACCAGAAAAAGTACAAGCAGATCACGAGACTGCGCGTCTGTCTTAGACTAAAGATGGCCTCTGATACTACCCATATCGATGCATCTTGTTGGTATTGATTGAGGCCACATTCTGTAGTAAAACCACCCAGGAAGAGAATGAAAAGCTATAATATAAAAAGCGTGAGCTATTTAAAGTAGTTTATATATACTCGATTTCAAGGAATATAAACACCGCTTCTCATTACTTAAGGCACAGTTCAGATTGGACATACCTTCAAACATTCCCATTTATTTCAATGGAATTTATATATGTTGCTCAAGAGCAAAATTTAATCTCTAGTTTAATCAGAAAGTTCGCTTTTAGGATGATGATATTCTTCCAGCACAAGGCAGAAAATTCTAATTGTGGTTACAGTTTTTACTGATTGATGCTGTCATGAACACAGCGTAAAAGCTCTTTACTCCCTACATTTACTCAAGCTTAGCAGAATAACATAGCAGATTTGTGGAGGAATATTTCTCTTTAGCAACATTTTGAGTACATCTCGCATCTGAAATTATGCCTAACTGGTGAATTCCTATATTTCCAGAACACAGTTTGAGAAGATACTCTCCTAACTTGTCTTGCTGAGTTTCCTGTCTGCTATGAACTCATGAAAAAAAGGAATTTTGAGAGGGTGTCCCCCATCAATACCTCAATTGCAAGTTGTTGACCCTACTTCTCCAGCAACTACAAATCTAATTCCCTTCCAGATTGGTTACTTTAACTCATTTATTGCTGTGCTTTAAATACTTTTTCTGATTGTGTTGGTTATACTTCCAAACACGTTCTTAATAATAGCAGTTTTGGGTATAAATTACTTCTCTCCCACATACGCACTATTTTAAAATTTAGCCCCCTTTGCAATTTTGCCTTATAAAGGGTGCATAAGTTTCATTAATTAAAAATGTATCAATAATAGCTTATGAAACAGATCATTCCAACACATTCTAAATCAGAGAATTTGAAATATATTTGCTTTCTAAGAATACAAATTCCACTCTGTTCCTCACTTCATTTGCATTACTGCACAATTCTGTATAGAAAGTGTTCCATTAAATGGATTACCTGGTACTTCCCACAAATAATCTTTTAACGATATATAAAAATCCCTATCACAACAAACGAGGAGCTAGGCTGTGGTAAGAGATGATTTTTATAACACTAAGTGGTGCAGCTGAAGGAAAGGAGAAACAAGTTACTAGACATACAAGCTCTTTTCTAGGTATTACACAACAGCACCTCACAGCTGCAAAACCAAAAATTAAACAGTCCACTCTCTTGAAAAATTAGTTTCGCATTTAGAAAGAAGCAATAAAAGAGCTTTTTCTGGAGACCAGAAATACTACTCACATATCCTAGAATAAGTTACTTCTGTGGGTACTTTTTTCTATAAGCATTTCAGATTGATTTATAAGTGTATCATTACGTATAAATCACTTCAGTCATTGCAAGGATAAGACAGCAGGCTTTTTAACTCAGCACAGTAACACTGGGGTTGTTTGGGGCTTAAAGAAAAAAAACACTGTATCCAATTGTAACAGTAAAAAATCTGCAGTTTTGCCAAATGCCATTGTTAGACAAGAAATGAATCCAGGCCAGAATCTAAAACATCTGAATTTTGCAAGAAGCTGTGGGAGATCTGTCAAACTGCAGATCATAGTACCACTGGGATTACAGACACAGACGACACTTCCAGTAGCAAGACCACATAGCTTATATTAAACTGGAGTGCTGATTAAGTCATGACCAGCCATCCTAAGCTGTCAGGTTCTCTGTTCTTCTGCTTGGCTCCAGCTTGACAGAGGCTTTCTTTAAGGGAAAATTATTTATGTTTGAAATTTACAGAATACTTTAGGCATAAGCAGACTTGCTTATATCTATTTTCATCCTTCTGCTTTTTTTGGTTGCAATATAAAGTATCTCATGTAGGTTTTACTGCAGTGCCTGCATATTAGACAGCACCTTACCTGAACTATATTATCCTCTAAAAATTCATTTAAAACGGATTCTGTACTTCTACAGTTGAAAAGAAAGTTTAAGCTACTGAGAGCTCTATGCCAGCTACTGTGACAAGTCTGAATTAGTGTATTTATTACAGCAAGACATTTATTCATGTAGTAACAATTTCCACATCAGCAACATTAGCTGCGTCATTCCTCGTGTAGGATAACGTATCTGCTCAATTTACTGTAATATCTCATTTGAGTGTCCCAAGGGAATACTGGCTAAGGAATTCAGTGTGGTTATTTACAGCGTGAAACCACAGAAAGTAGAAAGAACCCTGAGTGGCGGTTATTTACACCGTCTCCCCGGATGAAGGCAGGGCTCCCTCGCAGCAGCCTGGAAGTCGTCTGCGGGAGAACATTTAAGCGGCCGACGCCGCGTTGCCAGACGGAAACCTTGACGGCGGTGGCGGCCCCAGCAGCACGACCGCGGCTAGCAGCTTGGGCATAGCCTTTGCTGGGCCCCCCACAACCTGAGACGGGTCTTTTC